ACTAAATTGGTAATTATCCGCCTAGGCCCCGTCTATACTCCTAGTAAATGCCTAGCATGTTTTAGAACACTGAAAAAAATAATTTACTAAATCTCATATCAATGCGATCAATAATAAGCAAAAAAAAATCAAATTATTAGCAAATAAAATCAACTTATAGTTAGACATTCATCAAGTAATTATTAGCAAATTAAAACTCTTATTGACATTAAATACAAACACGCTAACCTTTTCATCAAGTAAAAGAAAGTCTATTCATATAAGCTCATTATTTTTTCTTTAAATTTTTTGCTCTCACTTACTGATAAGACGACTATGGTATGACGATAAACACGTTTTTTATTTAACTGGTCTAAAGTTAAATAATTGTTATTTATCTTGGGTATAGTATATATTATTTATGTGATGATTATTGAAAATTGAAATTGTTTGGTGAGAAGATTTAGAAAACACAAAAACTTTATATAAAGGCAAAATATTATAAATCCTTTTAGATTTGGGTATGTAAACCTAAATTTGTTTAAAATTTACATAAATTTTGTAAACGCCCGTGAACCAAAAAGTGGATTTTGGTGTTGCGCCGATCGACGCAGGTGTGTTGTGTCGATCGATGCACGTGTTTGGACTTGTGAGAAGTCGGGTTCGGGAGTTGCGCCGATCGACGCAGGTGCTTTGCGTCGATCGACGCAAGTGTCGGCAAGCTGGCTATTTAAGTCGAACAAACGGGTTTTTGGGGAGAAAAACAGAGAGAAATCAGTTGTGAGCGAGTGAGGATTGAGAAGTGAAGGATTGTTGTTGATTTCTTCGTGTTCTCAATCTTATTAGGCTTGTGTTGGTGTTTGTAAGGTTGTGAGAGCGAGAAAGGATCGTGCGGGGAAGGATTTCGGAAATTGGATCCGTGTTCTTCGTGTTCTTCGTCAATTTCATAGCGTTTTCTATCCGAAATCGAGGTGAGTGCGTGACCATGGCTTATCTGGGTAAAGGATTTGGTAGGATGCGATTGATTGTTGTTATGGTTGGATTTCATGTTGATTAGTAGGTTTCATGCGATTGATTGTTGTTTGTGGTTGTATTTCACGATGTATTGGTGGGCCTTGTGCCGGATATCGATGGAAACGAGTTTCAGAATCGATCCATGAGAGGATAGGCTCGATTCCGGATTCTGCGTTTCGTGCGTGGATCGACACACGGGCACAGCATCGATCGACGCCGGGGTTGAGCGTCGATCGACGCACGAGCGGATGTGCTGATTCGCNTTTGATTGNTCGTGTATTGCATTGTTGATTGCTCACCCTGGT